CCGGGGGGGATGGGCCGCCCCCCAGGAGCTGATGGCAGGGCCAGTCCTCGACCCTTGACCCAGGAGCCCCTTCCGAGTGTCTGTACGTGCCCCCTGGTACCCCGCCCTGCTATGCCTCCAGTGCTGAGGGCAGGAAGGAGGGCCCCCCAGCTGCCAGCCCAGCCTGGGCATCTCCCTGAGTTCAGGCCACCGCCAGGACCCTGAGGGTGCCAGGCAGGCCCACAAGCGGCCACCTGGGCCTGTCCAGTGGGCTCATGCTGCTGGACCCCTTGCCCGAGGTTTATCATTTACCTTTGGAAAGCCGACGCCTTAGGTGGCGCTTTCTCTCTGCAGCCCCCACAGGCTCCCTACTCTGGTCTCCTGCCCGCTGGCGAGGCCCGTCCCCAGCCTGGCCCTCAAACCCACCTTCGCTCGCACAGTTGTGCCATCTCACGGCACCTTCCCAGCCCAGCCAGGGCCCGAGGTCGTACCTGTGCCCCTGCCCCTGCCCCTCGAGACATCGGCTGGGGCCTGGCAAGCCCTGCCAGAGGCCCACTGTGGGAGGAAGAGCCCCAGCCAGTCCCCGGGAGGTGGCGGGAGTGTCTGCTCAGGCCACGGCAGGGGGCGTCGGCTATGTCGTGGGTACAGAGGAGGGGTGGCAGTGTCCTTCCAGGGAGGCTGCCAGCCAGCATCGTCAGACCCGGCTCCCAGCCAGCCGGCCTGGGTTCAAAGCCTGGCCTGGCCCTTTGCCCCCTCAGCCCCTCAGTGACTTCACTTTTTCAGCTTTTCATCCATAAAATGGGGATGACAGCAGTGCCAGCCTCCCTCCCAAAGCGAGCCGTGAAGATCAAGATCGGAAACACGAACACGGCACGTAGCACAGCGTCCCGTGCTCAGAGTGCTCGATTCTCGTTGCTGTCGCGTTTGCAAGTGCTCTCGACCCAGCTTCACACAGCTGGGAGGGAGAAGGTACAATGGGCTGGCTCCAGGTCGGTCCAGTTGGCAGGAAGGAGAAAGAGAAGAATGACCAAGAGGAGGTAGGAAGACCGGAGAGGAGGTGATGTCAGAACAGGGCTCTGGAGGGCGAGTAGGAGTTTGCCAGTAGGTCCAGGGGCAGAGTCTGGGCGATCTGCTGGGAAGCGGGGTGTTACTTAAGGTTAGTCCCTTTATCTGTTCATTGCTTTACTCAGCAGACCTTCGCCATGCGCTTTCCTGCGGGGAGCTGAGGATGGAAGGGGGACCGCCCGGTGAGGTGGAGGAGGCAGGTCCAGGCACGGAAGGCGCTGATGCAGGGTGGTCAGGGCTGCAGTGGGGCTGCCCAGGGCACAGGGACACACATGTCACCTGCTCCCAGCTACTCTCTGGCCTCGGAAACCGCCCCGGCTCCTCAGCTGGATGTGTCACCCAGGCCAGTAAGCAGCCCCAGCTGCAGGGAGGGAGACGGGCCTGCAGACGGGCAGAGCGGGGTCTGCTCGGGCCGGAGACCTGCTCTCGCCCCGCCCGCCATTCACGCATTTGTATTTCCCAGCATAAAACGTGAGCCTGTTGCCGGGGCCTCGGTGCATAGGCCGTCACTGGGGCGGGGCGGGGCGGGGGCAGGCGGGTTGGCATGTCCATGAGGGTGTCTGCTCCTTTATGGGGTCCCCTCTCTGTGTCCGTCTCTGCCACTCCCACCCCCGCTGCCCTCTCTGTCTCCCCATGTTTCTGTCTGTTCTTGGTGTCCGCGCTTTGTCCCACCCCAGCTCCCCATCTCGGCCTCTCTCTGGGCCCTGCCTGCCTGTGTGAGCCGGGGCTGGGCTGAGGTGGGGGCCGCCACCTGCACCCCACCCCTCGGGACCTGGGCCGGCTCAGCACAGGTGCCTGGCTCCATGGGCCTGGGCTGCTGAAGTCCGGTGGCCGGGCTGGGGCGGAGGCAGGCCCGGGGCCCGGGCCGTGGGTTCTGGGCCCAGCCCGCCCGCTGCAATATTGATGGCCCGTCACGGCGGCCCCGATTCCTGCGCTTTCGGTTAAAAGCTTTCTGTTGTTGTAGCTTATGCAGTTGCTCTGTTGCTATGGAAACGTGACATCAAAATGACGTTTCCCGTTTAAAAGCTTTTAACTAAATTCCTGCCTGTCAGATGTAGGCCCCATTTTGAGCCGGAGCTGCCTTCCAGGAGCGGGGCTCCCGCCCACGGTGTGCAGGCCGCGGGCACAGGCCTCCCTAAGCGTGGTCCTTTAACCCCGCAGGTGCCTCCGGCATGGCCGCGGCCGAAGCGCCCGGCTACCTTGTGTCTCCTCAGACGGAGAAGCACCGGCGGGCCCGCAACTGGACGGACGCCGAGATGCGCGGCCTCGTGCTGGTCTGGGAGGAGTTCTTCGACGAGCTGAAGCAGACCAAGCGGAACGCCAAGGTGTACGAGAAGATGGCCAGCAAGCTGCTGGAGACGACCGGCGAGCGCCGGCTGGGCGAGGAGATCAAGATCAAGATCACCAACATGACCTTCCAGTACAGGTAGGCGCTGCGGGCCCGCCACATGCACGCCCGCCACGTGGCTGTCTGCCCTCCCACGCGCGCGGGCCCCGCCGGCCGAGCCCAGGCTGCGGGGGCTGTTGCCCGCAGGAAGGGGGCGGTCCCTCTGGTCAGCCTCACGGGGCAACACGGGGCCCACGGAAACCATTCGTGCAGCCCCATTGCGGGGATGGGGACCTGAGGCCCAGCGAGGGCCGGGCTGGGACTGACCCCGGTGCTCCCCGGTTTCTGCCGAGCCGCCCCTAGGGCGCCTTCACTGCCCCCAGGGCCCCGCAGGTAGCTGCCCCTTGACCCGCACACACCAACCCAGCCAGGGCACTGCCGGCCACCACTCCAGGCTCGGCTCCAGGCAGCAGGGTGGTGGGACGATGCCGTACGGACAGGGAACCTGAGGCCCGAGGCGAGAAAGAGGCTCAGCTCCGGGCCTGCGAGTCCCACCTGCGCCCGACGCCCACTCACCTCAGTGTCCACTGAGCTGGCTGTGAGCCAGCACCATGCTGACCTCGGGTCGGGCTTGGGGTCGTTAGGGCTGACTGGGAAACTCTGGGCACCCTGGAGGGCCCCGCCGTGCGAAGGGCCTTGTTCGCGGAAGGGAGCAGTGGCAGCCCAGGCCTGCACCCACCGTCTCTGCCCATCCCAGGGTGGCCCCCCGCTCCCCGCCCTGGCAGCCTGAGGGGAACCTCTGCATCAGGGCTGAAGACGGAGCTCCCAGGCTGGGCAGCACTGGTGTCCAAGGAGGGTGCCGGGTGTGGCCTGTGCGCTTGGGATCTCAGGACACGTGGGGCCCCAGCCTATCTGCAGAGGGTCGCAGTGTAAGAAGGTCACTGGCAAGGTGAAGGTCGCTGGCAGGCTGGGGCCTGCTGGCGTGGAGGTCAAGCAGGAGCTAGGGGCTGTGGGGGAGGGCGGCACTCGTGCTCGGGGCCCGGCGGGCGGCCTGGGCAGGGTGGGGCTGGGCCTGGGGCTGCCCGCAAGAGCCTCTCAGTGCCTGGGAGGCCAGGCACGTGCCTAGCCTGTCTCAGCCGATGCCAGCCCCAGCCGCCTCCTGGTCCTCCTGGTGGCTGCTCCAGGCTGGGTGCAGACTGGGCCTCAGGCACCTTGAGCCACACTCTGTAGGGAGGACCCTCTCCGCTCACAGGCAGGGAGACAAACCCCCACCTGGCCAGTGGCTCCTGGCCGGAGCCTGGAGGCGTGCAGCAGCTCTGGGGGCCCTGACAACCGAAACACTTCCCATTTGCATCCATTTAACTTTTGGTGGCCCGGGGAGGAGCAGGTCCAGAGCCTGGCACTGTCCAAAGGCCCATCTCGGACCTCCAGCCCTGGCCCCAGCCAGGCCTGGACCAGAAACAGGCCGCTTGGTCAGAAGTCATCATAGTCACTTAGTGAATTGGCATAGCTCCCAGCCGCGGCTTCTGGTCTCACCAGGGCTGAGTTGTCTGCAGACACCCCTCAACGCCCGGTGAGGAGGGGGCTGTGGCGGTGCCGTGGGCGGGTTTACCAGCCTCCGTCTGACTCGGTCATGCACAGGCTCTGATTGGTCTCTGGCCACTTATTCATTATTTATCCTGAAAGCCTTCTGAGTCCCAGGAGAGGAGTTCAGTTCCATTCCTGGAGGCAGGAGATGAGGCCAAGGAGGCCGCAGGAGCCGAGGGTGCATCAGAGCGGACAGCTCGGCCCTCCGGGGGGGCCTTCCACTCCAGCCTGGGGCCGGGGGTGAGAGCTACACACATGTACGGCACTTCACAGTTTACGAAGCCCTTTTACCCTGTGGCTCCCCACGGCTCCCGTTCACCCCATGAGAAGCAGGTCCAGCCTAGGAGAGGGACTCGCCGAAGGCTGCACAGCCCTAATCAGCCGACACTTTGGCTGGTTAGTTTATCTGTTCCCCTAAAGAGCATCCCACAGCAGAAGCTTTTTATTTTTTCGCAGTAGCTCTTTATATATGAAGGTCGTGGGGCTAAGGGGTGGCTGGGCTCTGTGGAGCACGGTTGCTGAAATTCGGGGGCCTCCTGTGCTGGGGCAGGTCTTTACTCTTCTCCAGGCGGTGGGCTGGCTCCAGTGGGCAGGACCAGAGTGAGGACAGGAGGGGCCTGGAGGGGAGCCCTGGGTGGAGGCTGGGTGTGGGCCCAGGCGCAGCTCCTCACCCCTACGCCCAGCGTCTGCACAGCCCTCAGGGTGGTAGATGGTGGCCTTGTGGGTGGGAAGACAGAACAGCCGTGCTCTTCTGCATGTGACCGGTCCCTGGCTTTCTGCTGAGGCCATTCCTGTGATGTGTGCTGCCCCCAAGGTCAGCCCCTGCCGTGGCCTTTGCTCGCCTCCCTGCGCTGCAGGCCCCCTCGTCATCTGGGTGTACCTCTTTACTGGAGACGACTCAGGCGGCCAGCCCATTATTTCCAGTGACCAGTGGCCACGCCTTGGTAAGGGACCCCACGTCAGGAGACAGGAGCCATCCGGCCACAGGGCACTCTAGTTCCAAGGCTTCCCTGCGTTTGGGAGGAGCATGGGGCAGGAATGTGGGGGTCACAGGCTGAGACTGGGGTCTGGGGGAAGCCTTGGGCCTCAGGAAGCAGTGGGTCTGACGGGGCAGAGGACGCCCTCCTATACACACCTGTGGCCTCGTTCCGGGCCTGGCCGGGCTGCCCAGCTGTCAGGCAGCACCATCCTCCATCCGGCACCTCCAGAGGACGGCCTGGCCTGGGTCCGTATGCGCGGGCAGACAGGAGGCAGGACCGGTGTGGGGCTCAGCGGGGCAGAGCTGCTGTGCAGACGCTTGGCCAGAGGTCCGAGGGGGGCCGAGGCGTAGCCGGCTGCGTGAGAAGGTGCCCCGTCAGGCCCAGCCCTGCGGCTCCCGGCGCCTTCACCAGCGTGATGCCTGGACAGCTTGCTGTCCGTCAGGCACTGGGCATTGTCTTATTAAACCCTCCCTACAGCGGTGTGAGGCGCTCACTTCATCATCCCCATTTTACCGATAGGAGAATGGAGGCTCAGAGAGGTTAGCGAACCTGCCCAAGGTCACACAGCAAAGTGGTGGGGACGAGACACAGACTCAGATCTGGACACTGAAGCCTGTGCTCTATCTAACCCCAGCGGTTCTCGCCCCTCAAGGCATCCTCTGTGGAAAAACATGTTTATCACGTGATGACGTTTTGTTTGTGTTGCGTATTTTATTATAGCATGATAATCCTATGCGTGTGTGATGTGTTTCATGATGTTACCAGGGCTGACTAACTTATTTAGGAGCAGTATTTGTTCATTGCAGAGACTCTAGAAACCACAGCCGAGAGAAAAGCAGTAGGTGTCGCCTGAGGTCTCGGCCCTGACCCTGATACCGTTCACCTCTGGGGCATGTGCTGCCTTTTACCACCCAAGGCCGCATAGGTCCCGAGCCCGACTTCTTTCTAAGTGCATTGTCACCTTGGCCCTGGAGCCTGGCTGATTTTTCTGGGGGGGGGCCTGTCTGGCCAAGAGCGGCTCCTGCCCGTGCCCCACGGCCCCCCCGCAGGCCGCGGAGCTCCATGTCCCTCCGTGTCCCCCTGAGGGCCGGGCGGGGGCAGCCGCGTCTCACCCTTGGCTCTTATGTCTCTCGTTTCAGGAAATTAAAATGCATGACAGATAGCGAGTCCGTCCCGCCCGACTGGCCCTATTACCTAGCCATTGATAGGATTCTGGCCAAGGTCCCCGAGTCCTGTGATGGCAAACTGCCGGACAGCCAGCAGCCGGGGCCCTCCACGTCCCAGACCGAGGCGTCTCTGTCGCCGTCCGCTAAGTCCACCCCTCTGTACTTACCGTATAACCAGTGCTCCTACGAAGGCCGCCGCCAGGACGACAGCTCCGACAGCTTACTGTCCCTTATGTTCAGGTAGTGTGCGACCCCCTTCTGCCCCCGCCGCCCAGACGAGAGGCTTCGAGCAGTGAGGGCGGTGGCTGTCGGCCGGGGGCGGCCCCTGCCAGCCCTCGCAGGCGGCAGAGGGCGAGGGGGGTGTGAGCGCCCCAGGGACAGAGAGGCCTGTGACGGGGAGGCTCAGACAGGGGGGCAGCTGGAGGCTGCAGCGCGTGCTGTCCTGTCCGCAGACTGGCTTTGTCTCCCGGCTCCGTCACTTCTCAGCTGTGTGGAATGCTCGTGACCTCTCTGGGCCTCGGTCTCCCTCCGTAAAATGGGGACAAATCAGTAGCTTCTCCAGGAATAGCTGGAGGTGTCAGGGGAGAACAGACCTGGGCACAAGGCCCAACTCATGGAGGAAGAGGAGACACCCAACCGTGTGCTCCCCCCCCCGCCTGCCCTTCAGCCTTTGGCTTCCAGGCTCCCCCTTCCCCGCTGGGCAGACCCCACCCTAGGGTCCCCATTCTCCCTGCCCTCGCCAGGCTGGCTGGTCTTCTCAATACCAGGGAGGAGGTGTGGGCTGAGCCTCCTGAGTGTCCTCGTAACCCAGCCACAGTGAGTGTGACCGTCCCCTGTGCCGTCCATCACATGCTTCCTCCCACATGTCCCTACCCTCAAGCTGCCCACATACAGGCACGCAGGAGACTCAGCCCTACAGTGTGGGGCAGGGCAAGCGGAGGAGGGGACATTTGAGTGGGCTCTCAAGAGCGAACAGGAGTTGGCCGGCTGGAGAGAGAGTGTGGATTTGAGCCCTGGCCCAGCTTCTGCCCCGAATCCTGGTCTTCAAGTCTGTCAGATGGGGCGGAGTGAGGAGGCCTCTCTGGGGGCCCCCACGTCCTGACGCCTCGATGTTGGGGCTGCTCGTCAGCTTGCCCAGCGCCCCTCCCCTGGGGGCTTCTCAGCAAAGCCCCCAGTCACCAGCGCCTTTGCCGACAGCCAGGCCGGCGCAGCAGGGCAGCCTGCCACCTGCGGCCAGTCGTCTCCGTGGACAGAGCCCACTTCCCAGGCCCACAGCTGTCCCCGGCATTGCACCAGGCTGGGACGTGGGACCCAGAGCTCCGCTCCCCACCCCGGAGGTGGCCCGCGTCACCGTTGTGCTGAGAAGCAGATAGCCCTGACTGGGAGACGGGCAGGGCCTGGGGGTCTGGTGGGGTGGGACGGCTCCCTGCCCACCAGCAGGGGCCGGTTAGACCAGGGGTTGTCAACGCCCGACAGCAGAGGCCCCGGGGAGCTGCGGGCCTGGGCTGCCTTCACCGCCTGCCCCTGGGTACGGGTCCTCCTGCTGCCCCCCGCAAGTCCACGTGGGCGGGAAAGGAAGGGGGCCCAGGCCCCAGACCCGTCCTTCTGGGACCACAGTTCCCCATCCGTCCAGGGCTGGCCGGGACTGGCGGTCCCTGGCTTCCCAGGGGTGCCACACTGCCCAGCACCCTCCCCCCGGCCATCCCCCGCTCTCCCCTGAGTGCCCACTGGGCCTGCGCCACCCTGCCCTCCCCGCTGAGTGGGTTCAGGGGTGCTGTCCTGACGGGTTTCCTACCCCCAGACTGCAAGGGCTTGCATGCGTGTGACCTGGGTCGTTGGGTCCTGGCGGATGCGGCGCTGCAGCCCCCTTTGCCTGCGGCCCCCTACGCACGTGGACGATGGGGCCCTGAGCGAGCGGCGGAGCCCCCCGGCCCCCGGCTCCGTGGCCAGCCGCTCTCTCACCAGCGCTGTCCCCCCCCCAGGTCGGACGAGCGGCCCGTGAAGAAGCGCAAGGTGCAGAGCTGCCACCTGCAGAAGAAGAAGCTGCGGCTGCTGGAGGCCATGCTGGAGGAGCAGCGCCGGCTGAGCCGCGCCATGGAGGAGACGTGCCGGGAGGTGCGGCGCGTGCTGGACCAGCAGAACATCCTGCAGGTGCAGAGCCTGCAGCTGCAGGAGCGCATGATGAGCCTGCTGGAGCGCATCATCGCCAAGTCCAGCGCCTAGGCGCCCCGCGCCCGGGCCAGGCCGCCCCGGAGGGCGCTCGCGGTCGGGACTTTGCGCCAGGGCCCTTTCGAGGACCCCACAGCCCCGGGAGACCCTGAGGTCCCACATCCAGCATGAAAGCCCTCCTCGGACACAAGGCCAGGGACTCCGGGCTGGTTCCCCCAGGAAGAACGTGCCAGAATCCACTCTCCACCGGAGTCATGTCGAGGATCCTCGAGATGGCCTCTGGTGTCACACGTGTGGTTCCTCCCCGCCGGAAGGGAGCGTGCGTCCCGGGCCCGGAGGGGTGTGCCCGCTTGGGCTGGTCCAGAAACGAAAGCCAGTGCCGACGGGTCCGCGGCGGGCGCCCCGCAGAGGCTCCCAGGGCCCCGGTCTGCCCTGGCGCAGCTCCTGACACCCAGGCACATCCGGGCATGGTGAGCCGTTCCCAGCACCTTCGTGTTCCAGTCCCTGGAACATCGGGTGTCACGTGGCCTCCTCAGTGCTAACAGTAATAAAGGCGACGCGGCTCACGTGTGCCGCCCCCTTCGACCTTCTGGGCCCAGGGGTCGTGGTGGCGAGACAAGGCCTGTCCTCTCAGAGCTCAGGCCCCACGGGGAGAGGCACCTGAACAGAGAGGTGAACAGCCAGCGGGCCGTGACGGTGCTGGCAGGGAAGGGCCTGTGGGCTGAGGAGGGCCCGGGCGGAGGGGAGCGGGTGCGGGGCGGCCGGAGCTGCAGGACAAGCTCACCTGCTGCCTCTGCTCCTTGGCCAGCGACAAAGCTTTCTAGAAGCTCCTCCACGGATTCCTCCAGTGGCTCCTTGGCTCCGCGGGCTTTCGGTCACTGGCTGCAGCAGAGGCTGGCAGGGGAGCAGCCTCTCCCCCAGATTAGCATTTTGCTGCCCACGCAGTGGTTCCTGAGACGACACAGTGGGCGGGTTAGTGGCGAGTGACGTGACCTGACTCGTGGTCTGGAGCAGTCCCCTCTGGCTGTAGGTGGGCCGGCCAGCCGCTGGGGGACGTGGAGGAGGGGCCTGCCAGGAGGCTGCCATGTCATCCTGGTGTGACAGCGCCAGCTCCTCTGACACTCCAGTGGCCCTGAGTCCAGCTAGGCAGTGGTCACCCAGAGAGGCCAGAGGCACAGCCAGGCGGGCAGGACCCCTCCCAGCCACTTGGGGAACCCCCTCAGGAAGACCGCCATGGATGCAGACCCCCAACTTTGGGGCTGAGGGCAGCAATGTGTCTGGGGAGCGGTTACCACGCCCTGCAGTGGTGGCTGGAGCCCTGATGTGTGGCCTTGACCGTGTTCGTGTTGTGGGTATCCTCACCAAGGCCAGTGTCAGCTACCGATGTGATGTCGCCAAGCCCGGAGGTGGCAAGGAATGCTCACGTCGGCTGCAGCACCCCGCCACAAAGATGGGGAGCCGGGGGTGGCTCGTGTGGAAGGCCTGAGTTTCAGAGGCTCACCTGGCTGGGCTCCAGTGCAGGTGCCCGTCCGCCTCTTAGGGCGCCCCCAAAGAACTCATTTGTTTAGCGAACATGGGGCCCCTGCTGGGCTGGCCTGAGAGGGTGATCGTGCATGTGGCCCACCAGGGTGTCACACCCGGAAGGTTCCCCAGGAGGTGACAGATGGAGGTTCTAAGTTATGCGGCAGGTTTTCACCTTCACCATCTTTGCGTTCCAGAATCAGGGCCCTGAGGTTTTAGGGTAACAGTATCCGCAAGGTATGGGTTGCAATGTTATGTGGCATTTCTCGCTGCTGTTAGAGGTAGTTTGGACTGTTTTCTCGCTGCTGTCTGAGAGCTGGGTCTGTGCACTCTCTTTGTCTTAGGGGAGTGGCCCAGCCCGCCCTGTCCTTGGTGAGTGTCAGAATCACCTGGTCAGGCAGGGAGTTTACGGCCTTCACAAATGGTGTCCGTGTCCCGTTTCTTCTGAGTTATCCCTCCATTAAGGAGGAAAAGTCGGCTGTATCAGTAAATGCTAAAATATTTGATAGGATGCAGAGGACTACACCTGAACTCTGAAAACTAAAATGGGGCAGCAGGCTAAGGGGCTTGGTCTCGTCATTATTATTTGATGTCGTTTTGCCAGTTCCAGCTAATGCACTAAGGGGGGTGAAGTAAGGCAGCCTACGAGATGAGCGAGGAATGAAAACTGCCTTTATTTTCAGGTAATATTTTTGTATACTCAGAAAACCAAATGTACCGAAACCCAAGAGCTCTTAAACCTTAAATCTGTTAAATATGAGGATGGAAAAATACTGCATTTGCAGTCATGATGGAAGACGGTCGGCTGTCGAGGAGTGAACTTGACCAGGAAGGCGTAAGATCGACATGAAGAAAACTATTCAATTTTACTGAGGAATCTAAAACACCTGACTTTGTAGAGAAATTTAGCATACTCCTGAAAGCTCCAAAATAAATGTCATCATTTATTAGTGTGGCGAAAGGCCCAAGGCCGATAAACCGGGAAGACACACCCCGCCCCAGGGAGCACTGGGGACCTGCTCGTCATTTTCACACGCAGCCGGGAGCGTCAGAGTGGGCGGAGCCTCGAGAAGTGGAAGCTGAGACAAGGGAACCCACGTCAGGGCTCTTACACTTTGTCTCATTAGAGCCACCGGCGCGTCTCCCACGTCTCCCCCACCTGCCCGTCCTGCTTTCGTGACATTGCCTGTCGGGCACTTGGAAAACACTGGTTCAGAAAGTCACGCGGATCCTCTAAATGTTGATGCAGTTCATTAAATGGCATCAAAAGATGGCTTCTGTTAGGACCACCGTCAGCCCCCGCAGAGAAAGGTCTTCGGGAAGTTGCCAAGCTCACGGTGGCAGATGCGGGCTTCTCAGAATTCTGATTTTTGTGTGAAAGCCTGAATTTTATTGTCGATCACAAATTCCATCAGTTGCTTTTCTCGGGGGGACAGGCCCACTTTGTTCATTTTAAAGAACAGGTCTGCCGGGTGCAGAAGTGTGATTAACCAAAGCACTGGGGGCCGCACGGAATGGCCACGGGGACAGGCCGTGGGGATGTGGCAGAGATACAGGACTCGCCCAGCTCCTGGGGCCCTGGCGTGGGGCAGAGCGACCGCAGCGCCCGCGTGTGGGGCTGAGTCGTCGTACTCGAGCGACAGGCAGGAAAACCGGACCGGCTCTCGTTACCCACACGGTTGGTGTCAGGCGGGTTAGCGATTTAAATGTTAAAAATGGGAGCTCCCGGGGGAGATTTTGGAAGGATGCACAATCTCGGGGTTCGAGACCTGAGTGAGGGAACTCATAAGGAAAAGCGGTCTGATTTGATTAATGAAATTTCCGAAATGTGTGGCAAAAGGGCTTTAAACCTTGAGACGTGCGGTAGATAGCAAAACCCGTGGCGGCACGTAGGACGGACGAGAGCGTCTGTTTGCGAGCCGGGGTTCACACGGGGCCGGGCTTGTGTCCCTAGCCTGGCGAGGCGGGTGGGGGCGGGGAGGGGGGGGGGGGAGGCAGCGGGGGGTCTGTGCCACGCCCCTGCAGCCCCACCCTCCCAGGCAGGGGTGGACCTCCTCCCCCAGCCGCAGAGCCAGGCGGCACGGGACCCCCGCGTGCGTGCCCGGCCTCCCCTTCCATGTGCACCCCCAGCCTCTGCCCCCAGAGCCTCCGCTCTCCCTTCTCTGGCAGGAGCTGCCTCTACCACGGTGTGTGCTGGAGTCTCCTGTTGATACTGTGTAGGCTGGAGCCGTGTTTCCCGAATTCCTAGACGGGGTCAAAGGTGAAGTCATGTGCGACTCGGGAGGCAGAAGCGAAGGAGAGGCCATGATGCTCTGAAGGTCACGGATGGTTAGAGATGTGGATGGCTAGGGATGCGGACGGCTAGGGGTGTAGACAGCTAGGGTGTAGACAATTAGGGGTGTGGACGGCTAGGGGAGTGGACGACTAGGGTGTGGACAGTTGGGGCCATCACATGTTGGCGCGCGGGTGGGTAGCAGCGGGAGAGAGAGGGTTCCCAGCAGGTCCCGGTTGGTTTGCTGCAGTATTACCGGCCGTAGAAACTATTTTGGGGGGACTCATTCCATGGCCTTTTTTTTTCGACACCTGCCCAGGTTCAGATGCTGGACCCCGCCCTCAGGGACCCAAGGCCGGGCCAGAATTCATTCATCCAATTCTCGGATGTCTCGTGTCCAGGGTGATTCAGATCTTTCTCTGCTACAGTAATGGCCGCATATCAAAGCTCCTCCCTCATGACGGAACCTGCTCAAGGCCCGGCGATGTTCATTCTTTTTTCCCTTAGTAACAAATGCCTCTTTCCTTCTGGGCAGCAGTGTTCCAGCTAACACTGGACCAAATGTCCTTTTCAGTTTATGGTGACAAGTGACATATCAGAAGTTGGGGGCAAATTCTGAGAAAACTCCATAAAAGGGACAGGTAGGTATGTGGGGTTTTTTGTTTGTTTTTTCGTTTGACCATTTCCTACTTTCTCCTGGTTCCTGCCAGCAACACAGGAGAAAGAGGAGATACCTGGCTCTCCAGCAGCCTTCCGGGCCTGTGAGGCTCTCTTGAGGATGGGAGCCCGGAGCCAGGAAGACAGCAGCCCCCGGGGTCCAGCTGCTTTGCGGAGCGGCCGCCCAGGCCCGGCCTGTCAGGTGCGAGACGTCGGCTCCCACGCCGTGCCGGTGTTCTCTCCGGCCTCCGTTATTCGCGGCCAAACTCGACTTTTCACGGAATTTAATTCTGTCCCAGAAAGGGCAGGCGGTGCTGGCAAGGCCAGCGCCTGGAGCAGTGTGTCGGCTCAGTGGGGACGGGAGTGGGGCAGAGGGGTCATGAGGACCCAAAGCTGGGGACCCACATCATGTCGTGGGAGTCGTGTGGTCCGGCTGCCGCTGGGTCCCCCTCAGCAGGCAGGCCACTCAGGGGCCCAGACGGCCACGTTAGGGAGACGGCGAGCACGTTGGGATTCTGGGGGACTCTGGGGAGCTGGCCCCCTCCTGCCGCTTGGAGCAAGGCCTCGCAGAGGAGGACGGGCTCGGGCGGTGCTGCCGCCTGCAGCGGGAGGTGGGCTGCCGTCTGGGGGGACAGGCTCCTGCGCTGGCCTGTGGCCTCCTCACAGGATGATGCAGGCCTCCTGGGAGCAGTGCAGGGCTGCCCCCCAGGCGCCAGAGTCTAAAGGACGCCCAGCCCCAGGGCCCGCCCGTCTGTTGTTATTTCCCAAAGCTCCA